GTACGGGAAGCAAAGGCCCTGGTAAACACTGGTCACGTGTGTCCAAAAATATTGGACATTTTTGTAACCTGGCCTTATTAAAGTCATGTCATCCCGGGGGGGATAAACAACTGAACATTGCAATGGGCGAACTAAATTTTAAAAATACATATATTTTGCCTTTGATTTTTAAAATATGAATGTATAACAAGTGTTTTAAAATTCATATGTTAAAACAACAGGCAGCAGATTTTAAGCTTGTTTTTATTTTGATGGAAATTATAAACTTTGAAGCCACATGGATTTTGAATGCTATATAAAAGATGAAAGATCGAATGTTTTATATTCGAGGTACGATTTTATAATGCATATTATATAAAAATTGATATATTATTATTCTCATATATTTATCAGTTTATATATCCTAAATTCCAGCCGATTCGTGGCTCTCTGTTTGTATAATTAGTTTTCTTTGTCTAATTATTCCTCCATCTTTCGCTTTTGGATATAGACCTCCTTCATGCCTGATATATTTTTTTGTTATCTGCATCCAGCATCCTTCACTAAAATCAAAATCCTCTGTTCCAGCTTGCTCAGAAAATATTCAGTCTTTCATAACTGGAGTTCTCTTTGACATGTAAAATCGTCAAGCTGTACCATCAGTAAAATACTTATTTAACTGGCTGACTATTACAGTAGTCAAAAGTTAATAAATGAATACATGCAAGCATTACAAATTAACTGCCCTCATTCCAACCATTGGTTTCTGACTCATCCAATAAAACTTAACAGAATAGTACAATGATAATAGAAAAGTGTGGAAATGCTAACCTTACCCGGTACCTGACTTTCTGTATGTGACAAGAAAATTAGATTACATTAATTTTACAGTCCGGTATTCTTTTCTTTATCACCTCAATACTCTGGTTTATGATTTTGATGTTTAATTTTAAAAAAATTCCAATTGCCAACATACATTCTACTGGAGAAAATGTTCCCCCACCTCTTGCCATAAAATCTCCATAGCCCCCAATTTTAGTATTTTGTCCATCCAAAGGAGAGTCTTGCACACCAATGAAATAATCAAATATGGCATACTTTGTTATTTTCTCTGTCCAACACCAGACAATTTTACTTGTCAAGGGCACTATTAGATCAGTGGTCAAGGGTAAGGTTAAGTGAATAATAAAAAGTGGCTGGATATTCTATACTTGCTCCATATAATTGGACTTCGGTTGTGAGCAAAATGTAAAAAGACAAATACCAGTACTACATCCCTTAGTTGCGATCTTGAGCAGTTGTGCTGTTACTAATACAGCAGAATGTGGTTTCAAATGACAGTCATTTTATTGCAATGATATTCCAGTAAGACATTTGTTGTTTGTCTCTGTTTTAGAATAAGATCAAAAAGGTGGTTGCAGGTATTCAGATCCTGGAGTGCTGTGAAATTGCCTTAACCTTGGGCAATTAAGTAATATGAGTGGTGTGATAGGAAATTTTTGATTCATTGTGATTGACTATAAATAAAATTAGAATGGTGAGAATAATGATGATGATGCTAGTGAAATACAAGTTGTGATGATACTGGTGATGCACAAGATAATGAAAATATATTGTACATACCAATTGTAATGAGACATAAATAATAAATAGATTGGCAGTAATGAATGTTGCTTGTGTTGTTACTCTGAGTGTATATCCACACCGGGCAAGCTTGAAAAATATGCCTGACCACGGTGGGAATCGAACCTACGACCTTTGGAATGCTAGCCCACAGAAAATATCAGTAATGAATGTGTACGACTTGATCAATTGTACTGGTGAGAAGGCAGAACCTGCATGGGTGCAGGGATAGATCCAGCATGATCTGGTAGGGGGGTGCTCTGGGGCCGACTGCAGAGTTGTGTCGGTCATGTGTGCCGCCCGCCCATCAACAAACTACTGTATTTGAATTGTAGTTGTTGTTCACAGTTCACTTATCATGTTATTACTCAAATTACTGTTGTTGTTATTACTCAAATCTCATGTTGTCTTTTTTGCTTTATCATAAAAAATAGCACCCCCCTGCACCCCCTCTGGCAAGGGCTAGGGGGTCCACACCCCCCAGTAAAAATCCATCCCGGCATGGCTGCATTTTCGGTATATTGTGTGATATTGCCATGGGTGAATGGCAATATACTGCCATCTAGATGAAGTCACTGAAGTCTTCTAATATTTTTCATATTTCAAAACCACTGGATATTATTTCTCATGATTGGGTTTTCCCCCCCCCCCCTTCTTCCAGACAATGAGAAATAAACATCCCAAAACATAAATATGAAATTAACTCACACACAAAGGTTTCAAGATACTACGTATAAAATTTCATTCACAACTGTATTTTAAACTACATACATACGGAAACCAACCTGTCAGTCACTGTCAAAATATTCTGCTTTGATAACTAAATACATGTGTGCACATGAAGAATTTCGTTTCCATATATGTCCCTTTCACTATACAGGCACATATTTACTTGAGTATATATGTATCCTTCCATGAAAGTACAATAAAATCCCAAGTGATATTCTTTGGTCAATACGTAAAAATTACTTATAATCATTATTAATCAACAATGTTTATTTAATTCTTTATAAAACGTCGCACACAAGCAGCTGCATGGATACAAAATAGACAGTTTACACTCGACTAGTTTTCTCTCAGTTTGATCCTCGATCTTTCATAAGTATTACCGTTCGCTATTCCACAATTTGTTGAAAGCTCGTAGAATGCATAGTTTTAATATGTACCCACTTTAAATCTCACTAGGAAAGTTTTATTTATCGTAAACTAATAAAACTCGAAAACGTCGCGCCTTCCCGCTGCCATGTTTGACAAAATCAATCGGCTCCGCTCCCCCCGGATTGAAAACTAAATTATTACGAAATGTCCAATATTTTTGGACACACGTGACCAGTGTTTACCAGGGCCTTTGCTTCCCGTACCAGAGCCTCTGAACCGCGCAAAGGCCCTGGGTACGAGGTTGTTTGCTGATGTGATATAGATTCTGTAATCGTTCTCGGCCTTGACCTTGATAATTTCGGATCAGAGCCTCTGAACCGCGCAAAGGCCCTGGGTACGAGGTTGGTGCTGATGTGATATAGATTCTGTAATCGTTCTCGGCCTTGACCTTGATAATTTCGGATGGCACAAAAACCACATATAAGGCGAGATCGGTCTTAAGCCTAAGTATAAGTATAAAATACGCTTCTTATTGATTTTAATACTGTATCTTATAATAAATATATGCGAAGAGGCAATATTGTCACGCAATATTTTCGCTGAAATTGTATAACCGGCCTTTGCAGATATAATTGTGATTTTTGTCTTGAAAAGCCTCGAACTAATTTTCTTCAAAAAAGCATCGCCATCGCCGGTTATTCGGATGCATACGTTTGGAATGAATTACCGACTGACACGCATGTATATGCGTGTTAACCCCCAGTCAAACGAGAGTTGATGGCAGTTGGCAATCACTAAGTGTTGGGACATTTCAAAATCTAGATGACAAAGTATGTTTTGTAAACAATAAATTTTAGTCTTCATCGTCATGCAACGAATGAAATTGTTCCGATCGTGTTCCGACCAATACCGAAGTAATCGAATATCCGTACATTAAAGCTCTCGCCAAAAATGAATTAGGATCAGAAATAAGTGTTTCACGTTGCTTCCGGCGTCCTGCCTTTGCCTTATTTTATTATTTGTTGTTTTAAATAAGGTTAAAGAATAAAGAAAAAATCAGGTAAAACCAAAAATAAAATGATTAAATTCCGACAAAAAAATAGAGCCGATTACTATACGATAAAATATTGAAAAGCCAAGGTCAAGATATTTAGCAGTAAGATAAAACAAAACAATAACAACTCCGAAAACGGTAAAACATTTTGATTGTAATGTTTTTTTTATGTTACTCTGAGTGTATATCATGCACACCGGGCAGGCTGACTTAAAAAGTTCTGGGAATCGGCTAACTTTTCAATTCAGCCTGCCCTGTGTGGATATACACTCAGAGTAACATCAAAAGCATTACATTCACCTGAGTACATAACATCAAAACACACATAAATTTATTTTGAATAGTGATCACTCGACACACTTTAGGTGTTTCCGAAATTGAAATTATTTAAGGTCAATCAGAACATCCACGCGGTGCGCCTTTCACTTTCTGTTGGCGTTGATGAATATCTTATCGCAAGACGGGAAATTTTTGAAACAGAAAATAGAAGAAACAAGGCGTTAAATGGGTTAGCCCTCCTACGCATCAGAATGAATTCCGTTTTGTAATGATTGATGCGGAGATTAATAGCGCAGTACGTATATGACTATTGGAATACGCTCAATTACGTGATCACATTAGAGAAACCGCAAAAAAAACCAGTAAGACTAATCTCATTTTTACTTAAGTCGGCTGGTTTGAAATAAACAAATGTGTTGTCTTTGTTTAGTTACTCTTGCGCAAACCTTAATTCAGTGAAAACATCAAAACAATACTTGTGCAATATATAGACTGTCTACAATCTTCATTCTAATAATTATTTAATGAGGTCTAAATATAATAAAGACCGACGAACACAGAAAAATGTTATTTACAAATACAACTAACCAATGATATTATTGAACACCCACGCGGTGCGCCTTTCACTTTCTGTTGGCGTTGATGAATATCTTATTACAAGACGGAAAATTTTTGAAACAGAAAATAGAAGCAAAGCGTTAAATGGGTTAGCCCTCCTACGCATGATAATGAATTCCGTTTTGTAATGATTGATGCGGAGTTAATAGCGCAGTATGACTATTAGAATACGCTCCATTACGTGATCACATTAGAGAAACCGCAAAAAAACAGTAAGACTAATCTCATTTTTACTTAAGTCGGCTGGTTTGAAATAAACAAATGTGTTGCCTTTGTTTAGTTACTCTTGCGCAAACCTTAAAATTGGTGAAAACATCAAAACATTACAATACTCCTGCAATAGACTGTCTACAATCTTCATTCTAATAATTATTTTAAAAAATATATTTTTAACACGGTCTAAATATAATAAAGACCGAGGAACACAGAAAAATGTTATTTACAAATACAACTAACCAATGATATTATTTCAGTTATACAATGTTCTGCGTAATATATATCTTAATTAAAGCCTTACAAAAATAAAACATATCCGACTTTTGCTCACAAAATTTTATTCCCAAATTTCAATACATTTTTGGGAATATATCATTCCTTGTTACGAGCCTAAAAACTGTAAAAAGTTAAAATACACGACCATGCGTTCTAATTTATTCTGATTGATTGTATACTGATTTATGCTAATGAATCTTGATGGATATCTAGCTAAAACAAACATTTCCAAGTTCTAAACCAAACAGTTCTCCATCATCTCCAATGTCATAAACAGCAATATCTCGCATGGGAAGTCTTGATGTTTTCTCAGTTACAATTTCTATCACAGTACTTCGTCTTTCTTCGTCTTTTACCTTCAAGTGACAAATACAGAACGATTTACTTCAAAAATATCGTTTGCCATTTTGCGGGGGATGGGGGAGAAGGAAGGGTGGGCACTAGCTCTCATACTGTATGGTTTTACACTATCTAAGTTCTTTGATCGGAGCCTGCTTATCAAACACATACCTTACAATTGTCATCTCAACTTCTTTGAATGAAAGATAAGATTATATATAATTCAAAATTTATGTCAAAGGTTGTTGACGTTAATGCCATCACGGGATTTTCAGGGAGTAAAACAAGCCTATATATAGGATTTTAAGGGCTCCTTAATTATATTTCTCGAGCAAATATACTATATCAGAGCACAAAGGGAAATGTCCTAATATTCCGATCAACAAAGTCGACCAGGAAATGGGCTGAAACATCAAAAGGGCTTAAGCGAGAAAAAGAAAACAATGCGATTGAGATGATATATACACATGCATGGGTATATCAGAGACTTCAGTAAACACACTTACCTGACAGCCATCGCTAAGAACTGTGGGGCGATGCTTTCGAGGAGTACTTGCTTTATATTCCCTTTCATTATCACCAAGCAACTTGATTGAGTGTGTGACATCATTTGTTCTATCCCTCCATGCAGTGGAGTTGATGCAATGATAAATAATCTTTTGTTTTGCTTTATCGCTGTGTAACTGCAGGAACGTTAGTTGGTTCGACTCCACTGTATAACGGAACTGTAATGCAATAAAAAATACATCATTTTAGTAAATGATCTAAAGATTAATCTATGATGTACCAACATCGATACGTTAGAAAGTGTAAATATCGAAACAAAGAATATTTATGTTACAATGTCGTAACAGGAAAAAGGCATTAGCCGTAACAATTTTAAACATATTCTTGACGGCACTTGATTCAATACAAATATAGTAACTTTGTAATTATACATAGGATAGGATATATTGAGAAACAAATGTAGTGCATGCAATTATTAAAGTTCGTTATGTTTTCTCTGTTTTTGTGTGTATATTTGTGTTATTATATTTATATAGCTTGTAAATACTTGTAACAAACTGCCTCTTGACTGAAAAACAGGTGCCTACGAGCCCTGAAGAACTACCGTTTTAAAATATTCTTAAATAATAATAATAATAATAATAGTAATAATAGTAATAATAATAGTAATAATAATAATAATAATAATAATAATAATAATAATAATAATGAAAACTCTATTGAATTTTTTACGTATATATACAATTGTAAATCTCACTACTGACTTAGGTAATTTACAATTGGCTACATGAATCACAGACGGTACTACATATGCACTATTTACAGTAAAAACAAGAATAAAATGGGTATATGATTATATATATTATTATATGTAGTTATTCAGTAATTTAAATGTTTAACAATTCAGGGTTTGTTCACTCTTTGTTTCGACAGCAAAAAAATAAAATAATAATAACTCGGTTCTGTCAGGGGTTCTATGTTATCGTCCCGGCTTCAACAAACAACACTGACCTCGATCTGGATAGTTGTTGCTCGTGTCGCTCATGCCTCATCAAATAAACACATACCTCATCAAACACATACCTTAAAATTGTCATCTATATCCTCTTTAAACCACAAATATCTATCACCACCCCTATACCATTGCTTCAACTCCGTCTAGGAAACACAAAATATACAAACACAGCAATTGTTTACCAAACACATAAACATACAAAATATACCCCAAAAATCCCGATATTGCAAAACGTTTTACCTTTTTAATAATTGGGGAAATACAAGTTAGTTTTTTCTCAGAATTACAATAAGCCTGCACAGCGTCTTCTGTCGCTCCTTCGTTAGGATCAAGCCAATAAGTTCCTTGATGAAAAAAGACATCAGCTAACCAACGGCGTAACTTGGGTCCAGACATTGCTGGGGTATAAAGTCCCGACAAAAAGGGTGTAGTCAGAAAAGAATGTAAAGATGCCGAGGCCCAGGGATGATGTGAAGGCACAAGTGTCGAGTGCCAAAGGCACGAGACCCCTAAGGGTGTATGCAGGCATGCTCCCCAGAGAATGTAGAGTCTCTGAAAGTGTAAAGCCATTTCACGCACTTTGCGGGGAAAATCTTACTGAATTCTGATGGTCAGAAAACGACATATATTCGAATAGGACTCTTAGGTTTTCTTGTTCTTGCTCAACCGATGATTTGAATGTACTTTTAGCCAACAAATTAATGAACATATTTGCCCTACAAAATTGCTTTTCTCAAACATTAGGGGAGATGGGGGGGGGGGATAACCCACCCAGGATTTACGCCCCTGCAGCATGGGGCTATAGTAATTGCTACTATAGTAGCAATACTAAGCTGCCGTACTAAGGCCACGTAAATAAATCAATGAACACGACAGGTGATGAATGCATGCAAGCTACTTACGTCACAAAGTACTTACATACAGAGGTCTCACTTCTGCGGGAAAACCGTAAGGTAGTTTTTACCAAAATAGCTGTTCTTAGCAAGTGTCCTAAAGGGAGGCATTCAACCCCCCTGGAACATTAAATTTCAATATGTTTTCAGGGGGTGACTGCCTCTCTTTAGGGTACTTGCTAAGAACATGGCGGACTGAAAACATCCCACAAGCTAAATTAACCTGAAGTGAGACTTCTGTATGTAAGTACTCTGCGTTTATATCGGTGTAAAATGGTACCAGATTATGTACTCAAGAAGTCCGAATCTGAAATAAAAACTTGGTTACAATGCATACCACTTTTCAAATAGGGATGATCGTTGAAAAGATTTTTGCAAGTCAATGCTGGGAATTGTTTGCTTCCAGTCGGCTTTTGGAAATTTGCGAAATCATCGTAGAGGCGGTGTAACCTTGTTAGTAACTCTGCTTCCTAAAGATAAAAGAGTAGAAAATTAGTCGACGCACCAGACAAACCATGTTATGATTGCATGAAAACGTGATCACAAAAAACAATTCTATCTTGGGTAATTTAGTTAGAGATGAGTGATTTCTTCTCAGTCTATTGGATTTGCTTAATGCATATTATTAATTTAATATTTCATATAAATGCAACAAGGCAGGAATCGAACCCAAGATCTCTGACGTACCAGCTCTCTCCACTGAGCTATTAAGACCACTGAGCTATTAAGACCACTGAGCTATTGGTATGCGCGACAGAGACGCAGTAATACACGACGAAGTTTGTGCTGTCCAAATGCAGTTGAATCACTTGATGAAAAATATGTCTGAGTTATGATAATAGCGGAGTGGCCTGTAGAGCGCTGGTACGTTCGAGACTTTGGGTTCGATTCCCAGGTAGGACACTCAGAAAGCAATTTTCCGCAAGTGATTCGACTCCATTATAGGACAACACAATGTTTGATTATAGTAAAGAATTTTAAAACCATTTCCCTTACGAGTTCTTCCAAAGACAACGATACTTTGTTTTCATTACCAAATTCATTATCCTAAATAAATACAGTAATCGCATGATGTATGTGCATATTTTCTATATTTACACTTTTCCTTTCAAAAATTAAATGAGACAACATAAACAATATCAAAGGTAAAGAAATTTTGAAATAAAATCGAACAACGTTCAACAAAGGTCTCTTAATTAACTTGCCTGAAAAATAGTGGGGAGTTACTAATGTGCGTCTATTAGCGATAATGCAATGCTCGTTTCCTTTGTGGCACCATGTGAATATATATGATGATATCACATATCGACGCCAAAACATGCACACATGCAGATTAAATATATAGTTTATATCAGAATATTTCTCCCACCTCGTCCTCTCCATGATAATAATCAGGTGTTTTTCCTAAATCCACGCCTCTCGCACCACCGCCGCCACCATTTTGAACAGAACCAAGTGACGTTTGCTTGAAAACAAAATATTACTTATAAGAACACAATGTCTACCTAATATGAACAAATTTTCTGATTGGTAGGGATTTGAAAAGAATTAGCACATGACCAAAGACATTATTTTTACCTGTGGTCCACCTGGGCGACCAGGGGGTCCTGGGAGTCCCTAGAAAATAAAAAAAACCGTTCTGAAGTTTTGATTTTTAATAATTTCATCAAAAGACTAAATAGTATGAAGGAGTGTTTTATTGTGGAGTTCTATTCTGAAGTCTTTGTGTGAGCATGGCAGCTTTTGACCAATTACTGTAACATGCTGATAAGCTGCAAACAGGGTTCTGCAGAAATAATTCAGTTTCTTTCACTTGTGATACACCCTTACGCAAAGTACGCCACCTTGGCTATAACGTCTCGTTTTCGTGATAGATATGTTAGGCTTTAACTTATGTCACATACACGTATGTAAAAATGTTTCCAAATATATGGATACAACACGAGTGTGTTTTAGTTCACGAAATACTAAAGAGTGTTCGATATCATACAGATAGAGCTGATAGTGTAGTTTACCCTAAAAAAGATGCCACTATACAGCCTGTCTCATCCAAGAGGAACCAGCAAAAGTCACATGAGGATTCCTTTTGGACAAAATAGGCTGTAGTGGTAACCTTTTGAGGTAGGCTAAACTATACTTTATATATTTCATTTAGGTATACACTTTGATACAAAGAACAAACATTTATTTTCCAGTATCCTATTTAAGCTATGAGGGACTTCTCTTCCAAATTTCTCATTGTTTTTGAGTATATTATAACTGCTCAATGATTTCAGCCACTTCTCCACTGCTTCAGTGAGCGAAGCAACGAATAAATGAATGTGATAACATAACAGAATGTGTATAGTTCTATTATCCATCATCTAAACACATTTCGTAATAGGAAATATAGTGTACTTACCATTTTGCCACGATAGCCCTACAAGACATTACAGAGGCAAGTCAGATTTTTTACACATAGTGAGGTGGAAAGAAATAAGTAACCAAATAAGCACATAACCTTCTTTAAGTGCAACAAGAATATTGTATTTCACGATAAGCAATATAAAGTTTATGATAAAACGCACCTTTGGACCTCGGTCGCCCTAAAAATGTAAAACACGTCACAGTTAAATAACTGTCTTTGTTTGGCGACGTTTTTCAAGCTAACACGCACGCAGGCAAACAAAAAGACGAAGAAGAAACAAATCAACAAAAAAGAGACATACAAACAAATGTATTCAGGAATAGAAAGATAACGGAGCAGTCATGAAACAGCTCGACAAGAAGACGGAAAAAAGGAAGCAAATGGGACCAACTACTAATAATAAATGTAATCCCGGGGTCGGTTATTCGAAGGTGAGTTAGCGCTAACCCTTGGTTAAAATTTAGCCTGCTGTTTTGGTTTGTGCATTTCTGCACGTCTGTTTATTTCAAAACTTCAGAGAAGTAAACTCCTATCGATCCAGAAGCATTTCTAAATTTATAAACAAGCCGTCAGGAAGTTGTTTTGAATTTTAGGATAACCTAGGGTTAAGCTAATCGGCTTTCAAGCAACAGGTGCCAGCAAATGACTTGGAAACGCTTGACCAAGATTAAGACAAGTTGGATAATCATGTAAGATAGACTTACTATAGCTCCTGCGGTTCCAATTTGTCCTTTCAATCCCTAGTCCAACAATGGAAAAAATGCAGAAAATGAAGGTTATTGCAAGGTATTGAGAATAAATACGAAAATGCATAATCGACAGTAACTCACATCATAGATTTAATATGTATATAGGTAATAGTATGGTTTCGAGTGCAATTTGGAAAAAAACATGTACGAGTGAGTTTTTCATAGACTATCAAAATCTTTGAAAAATTCACGAGTGTATGTTTTTTAAATTGCAAGAGAAACCATACTATTACTTGCTAATAACATACATGAAAAAAATTAACGCCAGCCATTTTTGGTCACTCCCAAATGTTTGTTTTTTGTATTATTTCTGCTGGAAAATGCTGTATCTTATTGGCTAACTTTGTCATTGTTTCATATTTTAAGCCAATTAGAAAGGCTAAATAGTCAATGAAATTTGCACTGTATTTCTTTTTTCCCCCACTGTATTTCATTTTTTGGCACTGTATTTCGAAAAAATTGCACAGCTCTTAGCCAATCAGAATTGAGAAATTTTTCATGTATATCATTAAGGATGAAATTGGAGTGTGATTGAAATTATGCACATTCTACTAGAAAAAAAAACGCGTACATCTTCCCCCACTTTGCCTTCGTCTCCTCGAGGACCTATAACTCCTTTATAACCCTGTAAAGTGAAATATTTAATATATAAATTTAAAGAACACATGTCTCTGGCTAATATACTGCAACAGACACAATATATATCTATGATCGAGTAGCTATAACTCCTTTACCCTATCGCTTTCTAAAGAACAAGTGTCTCTGGCCAGTTGACTATAAATACTACCATGCACTGATACAATAGCCAGGGTGTACAAAAAATACGGACCGTCAATTTTATGCCTGGCGGAGTTATTTAAAACTTTAATTTATATGAGTTACGTGAGGATTAATTTAACGCAGCGCGTAAAACAGTACAAACTCGTCGCTCTGTGGTCAGTTGAACCATTTTTATTCGAACTGATCATATGACTAATTAGTAATTTGATAACTTTTTATGCATTTATGCTCCTTCATATTTTAAATTACCACAAGCATAAAATCTTGAGTTTAACAACAATAGCTTGATGTCGAAACAACTTTGGATTCTATCAGTACGTGCGTTTGGGCAGACTAATTACCATTATAATACAATTGTAAGTGAAATTTCACGGCGAACTAAAGGCTGCTCTCCAGTCACGCGTTTTTCATACGTGGGTATACGCACGGAAAAGTTTAAGTCTTTTTAAATGTTACTCATGAAATAACTGAATGAATAAAAGGAAAGCATATAGTTTTGTGAATAGTCTAATGTGCACTTGCACAGGTAATTCATACTAGTGTTAAGGTTACAGAACACCTTTGAGTGTTAATTTTGCCTAAATTTTTTTTATTGGTTTCCATGAAAGCATTAGACTAGTTCTACTATCTGACAAAGTTTGGACGAAAAATGTTGAAAACTCGCAGAGTTATTTAATAAAATACATTTCGCTTGCAATAAGAAAAACATTGAAAATGTAATATTCAAATTCAATTTTCTCCCGAAACATTTTACGGCAATTACTGATTTTTAAAGGAGTTGTGCTCCTGCGGGTTTTACCGAATTTTTCTCAAATTTTCACAGGACATAGCTAGAGACGTCAGTTTCCAAATTGTGTTCGGCTTTGTTCTAATTTTGGATATTTTAATAATAAGGAGCAATTCACTCAAACATTCAGAAATATAGTGCAGTCGTCAAAGGAATCGCCATATCAGCGGAATGACGAAATAAACAAAAATTTCCGAACACAATTTTTTAGAACTATTTTACTGTATAAAAATGATATTTTCATAAATATATCTTAAAACCAGCAGGAACATAACTCAAAAGCGTAAAGGTACCGCGATTTAAGATTTTCCTGAATAATTCTTACATTATTTTATTGTTTGTCAATTTTAGAACTTTACCATATTTTGCGTGCACTGGCTGACATTTGGTGAAAATTTGATGAAAATCGGACTGATTTTGAGCGCGCAGTAGCGATTTTCCGCAAAACGCCAAAAAGGGTGTCCTGTAACCTTAAATCTAAAAAGATTTAAACTTTTCCGTGCGTATATGCACGTATGAAAAACGCGTGACTGGAGAGACTGGACAACGGTTTAGTATTATTTATCTTCAGCTATCTTTCATTCAGTTGTAATTTTATAATTACCATAACTCCTTTTTCTCCCGCGCTTCCAATTTTACCAAAATCTCCATTGTAACCCTGCGGTAACAATTCAAGAAAAATTTATTTACAAGAGTAACGATTTATAGTCAATTAGTAAAAAATCACAAATTAAACTAAACAATCAAACAAGGTTGAGGATCCAGTTTTTGTGGTGCGAGGGGAAAATTCGATTTAGTTGCGGGGTAACAGCCTTTGTACGTTTTTCGAATAAGGACGATGAACCACAGACATCGTCTCGTACAGAACAGTAGAGAGCTTCAGATTTGACTCCCGCTACCACCACATCTCACTGGCTTAGGACGCATCTGGTTGGTTAATCGGATATATCAAACGCATCTGATTGGTTAATAATCCCTTAATGGTAGCGGTAGTGCATGGAAATCAAATCTGAACCATTCTGTTGTCTCAGAGTACATTATTTGGTAATACTTCCACAACTAGTATCAATGTTACAGTGTTACTTTCCATTAATTCGTTTTACATGCACATGTACAGTACGTATTCGAATAGTCCGGCAGTTTTTTTTAACAAGTTTATAAACAAGTTAACGAAATTACGACACACTAAATTATACATGCACGTTTCTGTAAATATCTTTCACTTTGCGTGACCCAGTAACATTATTAGTAAAAGCTATTTCTGAAAGCTAGTACCCGTATATAAATATTAATTTCTTATTATAATCCGTGTAAATAATTTTAAAAAAGTGTACAAATAAACTGTCGTTGTCGTACAACACGCTACATGTTCTACTAATTTCTTGTCGTTATTCTCTTGCAATGTACATACCGTATCGCCACGTGGTCCTTCAAAGCCGTAAGGTCCAATCCCGCCTTGTGCACCCTATGAACACAAAAGAAATCTTAAAATATTTTAATCATAAAGCTGAACATGAAATATACAATAGAAACAAACCTTCGCCCCTTCATAACCATATGATCCAGTTACACCACGGCGACCTTTACGCCCCTATAAATATGGTGAATATTTAATTATAGAATATGGAGGCTATGGGGGCTTCGGTGGCGCAGTCGTTCTAGCAAGCGCCCTTCACCTCTGAACTCGTGGGTTCGATTCTCGCTCTTCACCTCTGAACTCGTGGGTTCGATTCTCGCTGCGGACTGATGTGAAAACGGACTGATGTGAAAACGGACTGATGTGAAAACGGACTGATGTGAAAACGGACTGATGTGAAAACGGACTGATGTGAAAACGGACTGATGTGAAAACGGACTGATGTGAAAACGGACTGATGTGAAAACGGACTGATGTGAAAACGGACTGATGTGAAAACGGACTGATGTGAAAACGGACTGATGTGAAAACGGACTGATGTGAAAACGGACTGATGTGAAAACGGACTCATGTGAAAACGGACTCATGTGAAAACGGACTCATGTGAAAACGGACTCATGTGAAAACGGACTCATGTGAAAACGGACTCATGTGAAAACGGACTCATGTAAACACGGACTCATGTAAAGAGTCAGTCATCGCTCTTCCGAAAGTCGTGGATTTTCTCCGGGTTTTCCGGTTTCGTCCCACCGGACTCATGTAAAGAGTCAGTCATCGCTCTTCCGAAAGTCGTGGATTTTCTCCGGGTTTTCCGGTTTCGTCCCACAGGGAAACTTGACACATTAACATAGTTAAGAAAGTTATATCACAACTGTTGTAAAGATAAATAGTCTAGGCTAAGTAGTTAGAAGAAGTAAGCGTAATACTTGATGTAATCCGTCACTGACAAACCCCAATGGGGAATGAGCTGAATATATACGTATGTATATAAATACAATTTTAAGCATAAGCTAGCATCGGTCATATAGAAGCTGGTTTTCGTCTGGTCGTATATAGTTGTCGAGACAGTGGTCTCAAACGGTACAGCACAATTGAAGAGACAAAATAGATTCAGATTATTTTACATTCCATCATGGTAGCTATTTGTCCTGCACCTAGATTTAGTGTACTACGAAAATAGATCTATGGGCATGAGTGATTAGTTGTTAGTTATTCATGTTGTCAGGTACGATTTGCAATGGTCTGTCAACCTATGGTCTTAGGGCCATTTTCCACTAATTGCAAAAATCAACTCGCAAGCTCGCTGCGAGCGCTTGCATATAATTAAAATAAGCTGTCGAGCATTGTGATTGGATGAAAGCACTCGCAGCTAGCTTGCGAGTCGACTCTTGCGATGAATGGAAAGAAGGCTTCCAATATAAGAGACATGAAGGACTGAGAGAACAAGGGACTGAGAGAGACAAGGGACTGAGAGAGACAAGGGACTGAGAGAGACAAAGGACTGAGAGAGACATGGAACTGAGAGAGACAAGGGACTGAGAGAGACATGGAACTGAGAGAGACAAGGGACTGAGAGAGACAAAGGACTGAGAGAGACATGGAACTGAGAGAGACAAGGGACTGAGAGAGACATGGAACTGAGAGAGACAAGGGACTGAGAGAGACAAGGAACTGAGAGAGACAAGGGACTGAGAGAGACAAGGGACTGAGAGAGACAAGGGACTGAGAGAGACATGGAACTGAGAGAGACAAGGGACTGAGAGAGACAGGAACTGAGAGA